TGATGTTACCAGCAAAAAGTGCGAAGCAAATTAAATTCTTTTTGAAAGTACTCAGAAAATCATGGCATCTCCTGGTTCCCAGTCTCTTTACATCGTAAACCAAGAAAGTAGACAATTTAAAACACAGGCTGGAACGTACCAGGTGGGCCGGTGCGATTATGCGTTTTCGCATTTTTCGTGCTGTAGCAAGATCGCAAGGAATCACAATAGCTAACCCTGTGACATACTCGCCCTCGAAATTCGGGAAGTTAATCGTGCAACTACGTGGTAATTCAGTTGGAGATATCGACTTCAGTGATCCGACAAATGGATAGTTGCTGGTCCGCAAAAAAGGCCGCCCTAGAAGAGTTAAATCTGAAATCTTTTAGTCGCAGATAAGTAGGAAACATTACCTTACAATTAAAGTCTTCAGCTTTTCCAGTTCCTGAGTTAGCAATTTTCTCATCAAAATTTTCACGTGTCCGTACGTGAGTACCGGGCGGCTTTAAGGAGCTGAATTTGAAACCTTCTGGTCATACAGGAGTACGGAACATTACCCTAAAGTTTCAGCTTTCTAGCTTTTCCCGTTCCCGGGTCAGTAATTTTCGCGAAAAAATTTCCTCATGTCCGTGGCCCCGGGTGCTTCTAAACACCTGATCTTGGTTGCACATAAAAAAGAAACATTCCCCGAAAGTTCTAGCTTTCTAGCTTTTCTCGTTCCCGAGTTAGTATTTTCCGCCCCAAAACTTTCACATGTAGCGTACGTGGGCCTCGGGCGCCTCTAAACAACTGATTTTGGTGCACATGAGTAGGCAGCATTCTCGTAAAATTTCAGCTTCTTAGCTTTTTCCGTTCCCGGGTTAGTAATTTTCGCGCCAAAATTTCCACGCGCTCGTACATGGGCCCGGGCGCTTTTAAACACCTGATTTTGCTCGTGCATGAGCAGGGAACATTGCCGTAAAGTTTCAGTTTTCTAGCTTTCCCCATTCTTGGGTTAGTAATTTTCGCGCCGAAATTTTACGTGCTCGTACGTGAGCTCCGGACAGTCCTAAGGAGCTGAGTTTGAAAACTTCTGGTCATGCTTGAGTGGA